CTTGGCTCCCGCTTTTCTTCCCTGGACTGTTGCTTCTGTTTCCTTGTTGCATCCTCAAGCCGGAAGCCTAGAGCAAAGTGTTCCTCGCGGGGTTTGAGCCCGCGACCTATGGCTCATAAGACCATCGCTCCAACCACTGAGCTGAAGGAACTTGAGATCCCCCATCCAGCCCAGCTAGCAATTCCGTTCCTGGCTTTCCGAAACATGTCATGTGCCCAGCATCGGGAGCATAGGGTCAGACTCACAGCTGTGGGTGCCCGAAGGCCCTGCCCTGGGGAGGTTGAGACTGATCCGGGTGGTCGGGTGGACTGACATGGCAGCTGTACAAAAACAAAATTCACATGAAAACCGTCAACTGGCAGTTAGAAGGCATGTCAGCTGTGGGGTTCGAGCCCACGCGCACTTGCGTGCAGTGGCAACGAAAGGGGCCAAAGACCAGTCTGCACCCGAACATAAAGGCACCTTTCGGAAAATCTGGCTCATGTGCTACCTATGAAAAGCACGCTTTATCTTGGGCTTACCACAACTCTCAGGGTTTCGTGTTTAGGGGTTTAGGGTTTAGGGTTTCGGGCTAGGGTTTAGTTAGGGTGATGCTACGGAGGCCAACTCCAGGACGTTTCGGAAGGCTCTTGGGGGCTTCGGAGACGAATCCCGCAGCAAAGGCATCGGACTCGCCATGAAGCTTCCCATCTCCCACGGCAAGGCCACTGCCCCCCTCCCTCCCATCCCAGGGTTTAGGGTTTAGGGTTTAGGGTTTAGGGTTTAGGGTTTAGGGTTTAGGGTTTAGGGTTTAGGGTTTAGGGTTTAGGGTTTAGGGTTTGGGGGAATCGCAGATTTTTTTTGGGCAGGAGGTCTAGGGCTCAGGAATTTTAGGCTTGAGGGTTTCATGCTGAAGGCCACCCCTGAGTTGCAAGGCCTCAATTCTCCCGCGTGCTCCGACTCTGTTTGGGTCTTGACCCCTAAGCCCTAAACCCTAAACCCTAAACCCTAAACCCTAAACCCTAAACCCTAAACCCTAAACCCTAAGATCCCGAAACCCTAAACCCAAAGCCCTGGCAGCCTTTGACCCTTCAACAGGACATAGTAGCCCATGCAGTTGAGCCCCCCAAACAACTAGAGGTCTTAGAGGGGGATGTGAGGGGGTTTGGGGTTTGAGACTTCAGTGTTTCGGGTCCAGGGTCCGAACGTGTGAATCCCCAAAACCCAAAACCCAAAACCCTAAACCCTAAACCCTAAGCCCTATCCCCTAAACCCTAAACCTAAACCGCTGTGAACTCTTTAGTCTCAGCAAGGGGCTTCGGCATCTAGCGCTGTAGTGTTTCGAGTTTTGTCGGGGTACCCTTATTATGGGCCCTTACAAGGGAACCCCTTATCTATTATTTGCCCCCCACACAACCCAAGGGCCCATACTTCAGAAATATTAAGGGACGAGTGTAACTACCCTTAGAGAATTGGGGCTGTCTGGTTTTGGATGTCGGGCCAGGCTCGAGCAGAGAGTCCACACAGTAGCATGACGGCTCAGGCAGGTACATAAACCCTATGCTGCTACCCTAAGCCCTAAGCCCTAAGCCCTAAGCCCTAAGCCCTAAGCCCTAAGCCCTAAGCCCTAAGCCCTAAGCCCTAAGCCCTAAGCCCTAAGCCCTAAGCCCCAAGCCCTAAGCCCCAAGCCCTAAGCCCCAAGCCCTAAGCCCTAAGCCCTAATCCCTAAGCCCTAAGCCCAAAACCCTAAACCCTAAACCCTAGACCCTAAGCTAATCCGAAGGTTGTCAGGGCTAAGCTGACCTGAAAAGCCAGTCTTCAGATCTGCCGTCTGCGTCGCACCACCCTCACCCAAAACCCCAAAACGGCCCGACATCCCTAAACCCTAAACCCTAAACCCTAAACCCTAAACCCTAAACCCTAAACCCTAAACCCTAAACCCTAAACCCTAAACCCTAAACCCTAAACCCCAAACCCTAAACCCTAAACCCTAAATTAAACCCAGGCCCCCAAACACTGGGGGCCATGGAACATGGGTATCCTAACATGCTCTCTGAGCAAGCCTTCCTCATCTTCACCTTCAGCGTGCAGGCGCGAAGCCTCCCGCTCGGGGTTTTGGAGTTTTGGGGGGCTTAGGAGTTTGGGGGTTTAGGGTTTAGGGTTTAGGGGTTTAGGGGTTTAGGGGTTTAGGGGTTTAGGGGTTTAGGGGTTTAGGGGTTTAGGGGTTTAGGGGTTTAGGGGTTTAGGGTTTAGTTTAGGGGTTTAGGGGTTTAGGGTTTAGGGGTGGAGGGTTTTAGTTGGGGTGGGCCTTTGGGCTTCGAAGTTTGCAGTTTTTGGGGCTTTTGAGAAGACTCGGGTGCAAGGCTCAGTGTTGGGGCGCCAGGCAGCAGGCACTCTTGAGTGTTTGGCATTTTGGAGAGGGTGGGCCAGTGGGCCTTAGGTTTCCCAAGGCTACATCCAGAGAAGGCCAGAAGTCATGGGTTGCACGGCTTGGGCCGACTTAAATTAGCCCCACAGCCACGTAAACCCCAAGCCCTCCACATTCCCAAGACTTGAGTGAGCTTCGAGAGCTGAAGGCACAGGCCTACAGTCAGATTCAGCTCCCAACCGCAACGGTTTAGGGTTTAGGGTTTTGAATATCCGTCGTCCCTATGTGCGGTGAACCACAAGACTCATATACAACACTGAAAAACCAAAGGGTTCGGGTTTAGGGTTTAGAGTTTAGGGTTTAGGGTAGGGTTTAGGGTGTAGGGTGTAGGGTGGTAGGGTGTAGGGTTTAGGGTTTAGGGTTTAGGTTTTGTTTAGGGTTTAATTGGGGTTTGGGGTTTAGGGTGTTTGGTGGTTCGGGTTAGGCTTGACACAGAGTGAGGCAGTCATCGCCGGAAAGTTTGCGTACCTGGGGCATGACGAGGTTGCCACCGGGGGCTGTGGGGCTTGCTGAGTGCTGAGCCCTAAGCCCTAAACCTTAAACCCTAAACCCTAAACCCTAAGCCCTAAACCCTGACCTTAAACCCTAAACCCCAAACCCCAAACCCTACGGTGGATGGGTTTGGGCCTGCGAAAAAATAGACTCAGAGGGGCCTTTCCTTATGGACTCAATAAACTTCGCGGCTTCTATATCTTTAGTTTGTTTAGTAGGGTTTGGGGTCTAGGCCGAGTAATCATGGGCTCCGGTGCATGATCTCCCTTAAGCCTTCAAATGCTCTCATGTGCTATAGAATGCGGCGTATCCTTTTTTGTTTTTTATTTATATTTTTTTTGCTGGGGGGGGGGGGGGGCAGGGGTAGTGTTTCATTTTTGAGGGAGAGGGGGTTTAGGGCACCCCCAAAAGGGACTGAACTCTTCAGAGCTGTTTACACTCCTAAGTCCACATGTCACCCTAAACCCTAAACCCTAAACCCTAAACCCTAAACCCTAAACCCTAAACCCTAAACCCTAAACCCTAAAACCCAACAACCCTTAAACCCTTCAACCCTTCAAACCCCAAAACCCTTGAAGCCCTTGCACCCTTCAAGCCCTCTTAAACCCTTCTAAACCCTTATAAACCCTTATAAACCCTCAAAACCCTGAACACCTTTGAAACCCTTGAAGCCCTTGAAGCCCTTTAACCCTTACACCCTTACACCCTTAGACCCTTAAACCCTAAAACCCTTAAACCCTTAAACCCCTTAAGCCCCTTAAACCCTACACCCTTAAACCCCGAAACCCTTAAACCCTGAACCCTAAGCACTCCGCAAACTAGGTTCAAGCAGGCTGGTTCTTAGTTGTGATTGAGAGACTGGGGCTCCTACATGCTCCCCTTCAAGCCCCTTTATTACCTCATTTCCCTATTAAGCACCAGGAGGCCTAGCCCTAAACCCTAAACCCTAAACCCTAAACCCTAACTCCTAAACCCTAAACCCTAAACCCTAAACCCTAAACCCTAAACCCTAAACCCTAAATCTCCCAGGTTAAAAAGTATATATGCTCCCTTTTAGGGCCCTGTATATATATGTATACACCCTTAATACTCCCTAAAGGGTATTTATCGGGCCCTAAGTCCCTCGTTTCCCCAACTAAGCACTCCGCAAACCTAGGTTCAAATCCGTAAACCCTGCAACCCTTGAACCCTTAAGCCATTAAACCCTTAAACCGCTTAACCCTTAAACCCCTAAACCCTAAACCCTAGACCCTAAGCCCCAAACCCTGAACCCTAAACCCTAAACCCGAACCGAGAGGCTTCCGAAACCATACCCTAAACCCCTAAACCCCCGAACCCTTAGCACTCCGCAAACCTAGGTTCAAAGCCTGGCGAAGGAGGGGATCCTGGAAATCCTTCGCTCAGAAGGTTCTGGCCTTCCTGAGGCGGCTGGGGTTTAGGGGTTAGGCTTTAGGCTTTAGGCTTTAGGCTTTAGGCTTTAGGATTTAGGATTTAGGGTTTAGGGTTTAGGGTCTAGGGTTGGTTTAGGGTTTAGGGTTCGTTTACGGTCCAGGGCTTAGGGTTTAGGGCTTAGAGTTGCGAGGGGTAGGAGGTTAATGTGTGCTTATTCGCATAGGGTTACAAGTACCCGAAATACGGTTGATGCCACAGCTACCGTATGCTTTCAACCCAGCTTCTAAGGGTTCATTTGGGTGCTTTTCAGTAGGGTCCTAGGTGCCCCACATAACTAAATCAGTGTTAGGGATCCTTTTTGCTTTTTGGGTTGTGGGCTTTCTTATATATGAACAAAAAGGATCCTTTTTTCTTCCTAGGGGAACAGGGATTAAGATAAGGTTATGGCCATAGTGGCCCCACTTATAGCCCCATGCTTCTAAGCACACCACCCACAAGGGGGGGGGGGAGGGGGCGCAAGTTCTGAGCCAGGGTCCCTAAACCCTAAACCCTAAACCCTAAACCCTAAACCCTAAACCCTAAACCCGAAACCCTAAAGCAGGTGCCTCTTGGACACCCTCTTTTTGTTTGCTAGGAAGCCTCCGCAAGGCACCTGAGCCTAACCCTCGAGTTCCCCTCAGCCTTTGACCACGTCTGTCGTGACGGCGCCATGGTGGTGCCTTTGCTTGCTGACCTTACCACTGATGATGGTGTGGCACTCCTCTACCATTGGCTCACCTGTCCGTACTTGGTCGGCCTCCGGCTGGCCCCTCCTTGCGGCACCGCTAGCTTGAAGCTCCTGGGCTCGAACGTTTTTGTTGTGTGTTGGGGGGGTAGGGTAGACTTTTGGGCCTTTTGGCCAGCCTTCGCCGCCATGGTTTCTTTCCGGATGGGTTTTCTCATGATGGTTTTCATGGTGGCAGTGGGCATGCCGGGTGCTGTGCCGGCCAATGGAACTGGTGCAGCGGATGCCATGGCTGATGATAGGCCTATGGTCAGTGACCTTGCGGAGGCGATTGTAGTGGGGCTCTCCACCATGTTGGATGGCCTGGATGGCTCGCTGCCTGACGCCCACGCCCTGGATGAAGCGGCAGACTTGCTGGAGTCGGCATCGATTGCGGAGAATGTGGCGTTCTCGACGCTCATGGATGAAGCGCTGCTGGTTCTCGGACATCATGCTTATCCACTGCCGGTTCTCCAGGAGCTGCAAAGACACTGGACCCAGATTGCGACGATGATTGCGGCGAAGGCAGCGGGCTCCGCTGGGGAGCCTGCTGTCGGCAAGGCTCCGAAGAAGCAGCTGCCCAGGCCTCGACATAAACGTGGAGCGCCAGCCAATGAGGAAGGCTCTACGTCCGGGGCAGCCTCGTCGAGAGACCCAATGGGGATGACACCGGCCAGGGGTGCGGCACCCACGTCGCGAACGCCAAGTACCTCGCATAGATCAAGGTCGCCAGCCGGTTCCTACCGGCCCCCGGCAGCCAAAGGACCGCCGCCACCGAGATCGGTGAGCGTTGGGTCACCTGGTGGGCCGCCACCTCCGACGCTGGTGGGGCCAGCAACGGCGGGCATGGGGCTTGGCATACCGCCAAGGCCTTTTCGTGCCACAGAGGCCAATGTGCCGTGTCTGGCCCGAGTGCATGTCCCGCTGGTTCAAATCCCGGGGTATGCAGGTGCATTGATGGCACCGTTGGTCTGGCCGCACGCTGCTGCAGCTGATGTTCGGTGCCTGACATCGGAGGAGCTCGTTTGGGAATTGGCCTCGCGGATTGGAATGTGCGGGCTGACTCCGATGTGGGCCCAGAGCGGGGCATTACAAGATCGGCTGCGGGCCCTCATGGACCAAGCTGAGAGCCGAGGTATTCACCCGGCAGATGTGGCGCGGCGTGTTGTCGGCATGCTACGTGGAAGAGATGCTGTGCCACAGCAGCTGCCGTTCGCGGCCGAGGTGGCCCGAGAAATGCTCAGGCCATATCACTTGCGGATGTGTGTGCGTGGGAAAATGGATGGCCGCTTGTCTCCTGTTCAGGTATGGCTGAAGTCCCCGACGACACCTGACCCGGGAGCTGCGCACACAGGGATGGGACTCTGGATCTGGCACTTTTTCAGCTGGACAAATGTTCTTGCAATGCAAACATGGGTTGTGTGCACGACATGTGGTTGCAACTGGTCACGTGCTGACTCCTGGCCTTTCAGTTTTGTTGGGCTCAGCTTGCTGGAACATGATTCCACCACAGAGTGGGCGCGCTTCCACAGGCTGGCTTCTATGCAGGTGGTGCTTCTTGCTCTGTGGAACCAGCTTTGGACAGGTGCCAATATGCACATGGAGCTTGGACTGCGGCCTCTTACCGTCAAGTCGGTTGCCTGGATGGGTTTTCGATGGCTGACGGGTCATGCAAGCCTTGTGTGTCTCGCAGGCGACTGCGCTATCCTTCGGGTATTCTGGGCAACGTTATGTCCGTGGACACCAGAGGCCTGTATACAGTCCTTGGATGCGTGGGCACTTCCGACAGCATACCGACCCCCTGGGATAAGGACTAGCTCGCGAACACGCCCGCCGATTTGTTGCGGCCTTGGGGTCCTGCCTTGTCGTGGCGGTCATATGGTGTGCGCTGTCAGGTGGATGCTGGCAAGCAGCAACTGCTGTTGGAGTCAGGTGATCCCCTTCTTTCCTTGGTATGGCTCTGTACGATGGGACTGTCGTAGGTGTGGCGAGCTCTCTCGAACGCGATTGGGCTCTGGGCTTGGATGTTCCGACTGGAGTATGAGGCATGCCATGAGCTCTTGGTGTAGGTCGTTGGATGGACAGGAAGCCAGCAAGATGCAGGCTGGATCTTTATCGTTCGGCTGGTCACTTAGTCAAAGTCATCCCCACGAGTCCGCGCGATCGGGCTGCTGCAGGTCACAAGGACCGCAACAAGATACCCCTCTTCAGGGGCGACTTGCATGCCTTGGATTAGGCCTGCTGGGCTGTGGCTTATGTTTAAGTCTCCTCACCTATGTCTGGGGTCTTTTCTTCGCCATATGGAGGACTTCCCATGTGCAATGGGGGACGGTTCGAATGTGGGTGGGCTGCTACAGGCGACGACGCCTACGTACTATGACCAGGGCGCGGCCAGTCAATCAGGATTATCGAGAGACACAGACGCGGAGCAAATGCCTTTTCGCGCGGTCTTGTCAGCTGTTCGTCATGCTGTTGTGGCATTTCAGTACTTGGTGGATCGGCTTTTGGCGCAGCCTTTTCCTTACAGTGTCATTCTATCCCGAGACTGTGCTCCATATGACGACGCCATCCAGGCGCGAACAGCAATCAATACCTTCGTTCGATCTGAATACACATTGTACTGTCCTACCTTCTGGACGTATACAAAGTTCGAGTCATGTCGGTCCCAAGTCCGACATGGGTCCCTGCCCAGTTATGGGCCGAGGACCGCTTCGGTGGTTTCTTTGGCTCTTTCTTTGGTGGTGGATTGTGGTGGGGGCCCAAGGAGCGAGGGTTGTCGGATCTTCCGTCGATCCGGCGGGAGCAAGTTCACTTGCTGTGACAGGCTCCGAGATGGTTGCAAAGCAAGACGGAAAGCATGTTACGAAGTCAGTGGCCCAGAAGCGTGCTTATCGTCGTGCATGTCTTCGGGCGACACGAGCTGGTCCCAATGGGGCCACGTGGTATCGAGGCAAATGGATGACTGCCAGGGCCTTGCAGGCTCAAAAGATTTCTTCAGCTGGGACGTCTTTCACCAGCCAGGCGAGCAGAAAGCCAGTCAAGGTTCCGCAGCTTCAGCTTCCGAGGTGGCCGCCTCGGAAAGGCGCCGAATGCCTTCCTGAGGAGATGCCTCCCGAAAGGCCGGCTCGGTCAATATCCTGAGTATTAATCTGGAGGGCATTACGCTGGAACTATACGATGAATTCTGCCGATGGTTGGAGACAGAGACCACCATAGCCAATATAGACATCATCTGTGTGCAAGAAACCTGGAGGCTTACGAGTGACTACGTTCTTCCGCACTGGTCGTGGCTCAGCTCTGGGGCGGAACCTGTCTCAGGACAGGGTGTTGCCGTCCTTGTGAATACAGCATATGCGGACACGGCAGTCCTGAGAACCAGGGAGATTCGAGTTGGCCGCATTCTTCAGGTTCAGATGCCTGTCAAAGATGACAAACAAGGACGCCTTCTCAATGTCGTGTGTGTGTATGTGCCTTCTAAGGTTTCTGAATCACAGTATGTCTATGAGAAACGTGCTGCTGTTTGGTCAGCGCTGGATAAGTTTCTGACTACGGTACCAGCCCGTCATTTCTTATGCGTTGCTGGCGCTTTCAACACGGACCTACAACAGGACGCACCCTTTGTGGGTTGCACCTTTCAGTGGAAAGGGCACTCCCGTGCCCCGGCCAGGGACCAATCCACCTTCCAGAATCTGTTGCGTGCCCACTCTTTACATGCTATGAACACCTGGAAGCATGAGGCGACGTATCTTGACCACCAAGGAAGCAGATCTCGCGTAGACTACATCTTGACACGGTCCAATACAGCTAAAGGCCACAAATCTGAGACGATGCCTCAGCTACACTTTGCTTCGTGGCGGGAGGGTAGCAGACACCTAGCCCTGATTGGGAGGATTGACCTCACTTCATGGCGGAACCTCCGCTCCCGTGAGGTCAACAACTTTCAATACGATAAGCTTGCCTTGGTGCGTGCCTGTCAACCGGGGCCCGAGCAAGATCGGCTGAAACAGGCGTTGGTGCCTCATCTATCGCTGCTTTATTCTGGGCCCCCACCGAGTCGGGTGGAGGCACTGCTTCGTCAACTGTGCGCCGAAACCTTTCCGGCAAAGCCAGCGGCTTCTAACCTACAATGGCAAAATCCGGAGGTGCAGCAAGATCTGGAGCGGACCTGGACGAAAAGGGCGGGCGATTGATGCAACTCGAGTTGCACCCTTGCCTCTACTGCGCAAGGCGTTTCAGATATGGAGACTAAAGAAGCAACTACGTCTGCGGGTGAAGGAGCTCAAAAAGGCAAGTCGGCAGAGACGGCGGAAGCACTGGACTCAACAGCTGGAGGAGGCCGAGAAGGCACGGGATGCTAAGGATGCTTATCGCTTCTTCCGTGTCATTACGACTCTGGCCCCTAGGAAGCCTATGGAGCGGGTTCAACTGCGAGATGCGCAGGGATGCATCATGACGCCTGAGCAGGAGGACAAGGCCTTGGCGGCCTACTGGAACACCATCTATGGCAGGCCCACCGTGAAACAGCGAGCCTGGACTCTACAGGAGGGAATTTCCATTCGCCAGGAGGAAATCTACCAGGCTCTTCGCCAGCTGAAGGCTCGCAAGGCGGTTTCGCCGGGGCTTGCTCCGGCGGCGGCCTGGAAGGCGTTGGCGGCGGAGATGTCAGAGTATCTAGCTGGATTTGTGCAGCAGCATTGGCAACAAGGCCCGCTCCTCTTGCCAACTTCCTGGACCGCCACGTCGTTGATCTTCTTGCCCAAGGCTGGAAAGACCATAAAGCAGCCAAAGGACCTGCGTCCTATTGCTCTGCAGTCGGCGGCGTCCAAGGCGATCACGACAGTCGTGAAGTGGCGGATTACACCATCCTTCTTGGAGGCCATGCGTGCTCTTCTTCAGTATGCCTACGTTCGGGGGCGCAGTACGGTGGAGGCGATAGCTCGAGTGGCTGCACATTGCTCCTCTGTCAGACGTTTGGTCAAGCAACAGCCCATGACCATTCACGACAAGTTTGCGGGAGCGGTTTCTAAGGACTGTGTGGGAGGGGCCCAACTGAGCATTGATTTGTCGAAGGCCTTCGATTTGCTGCCTCGTAGCGTGTTACAGGAAATTCTGTCCACCACCGATCTCACAGCTGATGAGCAGGCGCTGATTATGCAGTGGCGTCAGCAGGGTCGATATCGCATCCGGAGTCGCGGCAGTGCGGAAGCCCAACACATTGACCTTCAGTGTGGTGTTCGTCAAGGTGATGTACTGTCGCCGTATCTCTGGGGGTTGTTCACTGCTTATTTGGCGAAGGCCTTGGACGCTGAGAATGGAAGCGGCTGGACTGCCAGCAGTGGCACATTGTACGCTGATGACATGCACTACAGATTGGAATCTTCTAAGGTTGAACATTTGCAAAAGATGCGACAGGACGTCCAAAATATCTTTGCCGTTCTCCGACGACTGGGTATGCAGGCCAATCCGGAGAAAAGTGCATTTCTCATCAGTGTGCGAGGCACGCAGGCGAAGAAGTGGGTTCGGCGCTTCGTTCGGAAAGACAAGCAACAGGTGCGCCACTTTCACTTTGGAGGTGGAGCAGATGACCGTGTGCCGGTTGCTGAGTCCTTTACCTATCTTGGGGCGGTACTGTCTTACAACAACTTTGAACTGGAGACCATGAAGCACAGGCTGGGGGTGGCGGCAGGCCACCATGACAGGCTTCGAAAGATCCTGCATGCCAAACGGGTCCTCAGTGCTAAAGTGAGATATCGTCAGTGGCAGGTTATGGTACAAACGGCACAGTTGTACGCCTTGGAGGCAGTTGGGGTTACACCGGAAGGTGCCAAGATGCTGCATGTGCAAACCCTGAGACATCTACGCGGAATCTTCGGCTCGGCTCGACATGTGGATGGACTCTCAGATCATGCGTTTCTTAGCAAGTATGATTTGCCAGATAGCATGCATATGGTTCGCAGGCGCAGTGGCACGCTGTGTGACAGACTGAAGGACCAGACCCTAGACCCGCCATGATAGAGTCTCCATCTTGGCGTTCGCTACGGCGATTGAAGCGGCTCTTCCTGAGGCGTATGTGGCCAAGACCAGAACGGAGCCCAAATAAAGATGTGGCGATGGCCTTTGCTTGCAGCCAGTGTGATCTTCGCTTTGGTTCGCTGCATGACTTGAAGACGCATGAGGGAAAGGCGCATGGAATTATCAAAGCCCGCGTAGAGGTGACCAAAAACGAGCACGGCATCAATGGTATGCCAATCTGTCGGCGTTGTGGGGAAAAGTTTTCCAAGTGGAACACTCTCTCACGACATGTGGCCAGGCAGGGCTGTCCGGCCCTTCAGCAAGGACGGGTGGATGCTGCGGTGAAGGCGATGCTCATCACTGAACAAAGGCCTGCTTTGGAGCGTCCGGACGTTGTCAGTTGCATTAAGCAAAAGGGCTGGGCCGGTCTTCTGCATGACAAAGCTTTATGTGCTGAGCTCAAACAGCGCTGTGCAGTGTGTTACCAATGGATCGTGGCAACGAACGGGATTCGCTCACATATCCGCAAAGAGCATGGCACTTCATTTCTGCAACATGAGGCTACTATCAAACAACATCAAAAACTGTGGAGACAAGCCATACAGTCCCCGTGCCAAGTGTGTGGTGCAGCGGTTGTTGATCGGCCTCAACATGCAGGCTCCTGTTCCGTTCTGCTTCAGCTGATGTACATGTCACTACTGCTTGTGGGACATTGCAAAGAGGGATCTCCTTTGGAAGTGACAGGATCCGGTGAAGCAGGAAATGGAGCTCTTCGGCAGTCTTCTGCCAGCCTTCGGGGGGAAGCCGGCGGAGGTGGTAGAAGGGCAGTCCAGTGCAGCGGCCAGGCCCAAAAGACGGCGCACGCAGGACGAAAGCTCCAACTCGAGCAAGGGAAAGGGTGGTGGGAAAGGTGGAGGAAAAGGGAAGAAGAAGGACGGCAAGGATCTGCAGCTCAAGGAGGTGGTGGCCATACTGTCCTCTCTAACTCTGCAGCATGTGGACCAGGTGAGCCGCATCCAGCTGGACACAGGCTTCCTGATGACGATGAAGAACACCGATCAGCCGGAATGCATGCTCCCGGTGATGTTCAAAATCAGTGCGGAGTGGAAGCGCATCAAAGCCGAGGAACCCCAGAAGCTGGACAAGCCGCTCAGGGTCACGATGATGGTGTGCTTGCTCAACGAACTCAAAGCCAGGGCCCTCAAGGCCAAGGACAGTGCGGAGGCGCAAAGCAAGCTGCACGAGATGAAGTGGCTGAACGACCGGGGGGAATGGGTCTACATGGTCTGGAACCCGCAGTCGGAGAGCCTGGAGCTGGACGAGACCCGACCTGCCGTACCTCAGGATGTTTTCATCAATCAGGTGACGGAAACCATCTCGATGATAGCACATCCGGGGGCCTTGATGCGCTTTCAAAACGTGAGACCGCTGACGGAGGACATGTCCGGCCACAGTGTGGCGTTCCTGATCTACGCCAGCAACGTCTTCGGCGACCACCGGCAGCGGAGAAGCTGTCGGCATGGCTATCCTCAAATTGAGGTTCCGCAATCCCAACCAGCAGTGTTATGTCAACTCGGCAGTTTATGCGTGTCTATACTGGCTCAGATCCAAACTGGCGCAGGTGGGCACCAACAAGCTTCTACAGGGGCTGAGGAAACTTCAAGGCTTGGAATCCAAAAGTCTGCACCACATTGCATCCCTGTTTGATTGGAGGTCTTTGATGCAGGGATGGAGCAGGCCAGCTGTTCAGCATGATGTCACGGAATTTCTCATGCATATTCTTCGACAAGGGGAGCGCTCCTCTTGGGTTGGACAGTGGCAGTCGGGCACTTGGATTGCCGATCGGTATGAGCTGGAGGACACAGGATGGGGCTTCATTCCGCTGCATGTGCCAGGTGCTGAAGAGAGCTATACACTACAGCAGTGTCTGGACTTTTGGCATCGTCGGCCATCGCAAATCTGGGGCGAACAAACTGCGTGTGCTTGCATTGCTTCCCATGAGACTCATGTTTGTTTTGCACTGCAGCGGTTTCGACGCAACTCAGATGTTGTTACGCGATACAATGGGCACATTTCTGTCGAACGCAGGTACATGCTTCCTGTTCAGACGACAGATGGAGTGCAGCTGGTTCCCTTCATGGTTCAGGCAGCGATCCTTCATATGGGGGAACGTGCAGATATGGGGCACTATCGTACTTTGCTCTGGTTTGCCGATGACGTTTCCTACCTGACTGATGATGGTGTCAGGGCACGGAAAATTCGCAAGTCTGATGCTGAGCTGATTGAGCGTGGCAGTTACGTAGTTTGTCTCACTCGTGTGTGATACTTTTCGTGTCTTTTCGCTGACTGCCCGCAGACACCCGTGTCGGGGTAGCCACGCAGGCACACGTGCCGGTGGTTGAATGTACATAGTACAGTCACTCGAAGTGACCGGGCCTGAAAACCAGGCTTGTTCAGTGCCACATGCGCGCTTGGTGGAGCTTGACTCGCCCGCGTCTTCAAAGTCAAAAAAGTCACCGCTAGCTTGGCGCGGCTCATTCCCCTGAAGGATGAGCACGGGAGTGTCTTGCCCTCACCTCAGCCTTTGAGATCCCGCCGCTATCCGGACGGATTTCCGTGGGCAGCCAGCTCGGCCGCGTGTCGTCCAATCTCTGCGAATTTGCGTTCAAGAAGTGCCTCGGGTTTACATCCTACGACCGCTTTGGCCCCAAGAACATCGAGAGGTTTGGGGCTTAGGGCTTGGGGTCTTGCCAGGGGCTTTTTGGGTCCTTGGGGGAGACCTCCTAAACCATGTAAACCCTAAACCATAAGCCCCAACACCCCTAAGACCACGCTCCCTGACCGAACTTTGAACGCTCCACACCTTTTAGTTTGCCTCCCTCAGGCCTTCCCGTGGGTCCCTCCCTCCCTTTTCGGGTGTAGCGTTTCAGGGTTTTAGGGTTTAGGGTTTAGGGTTTAGGGTTTTAGGGTTTCAGGATTATGGGGCCATCTCGGTAAAGCTTCAGGCAGGTTTGAGGCGGGAGCTGCACTTAAACTGTAAACCCCCTTGCCACCCTCAGAAAGAACCCTGAACAAACTGTACGCCTTGAAACCTATCCCCTAAGAAGTGCCCTAAGCCCCAAAACCTCTAAACCCTAAAAGCCTCAACCCCAAACCCTGACCCCTAAACCTCTAAACCCCCGAGAGCCCTAAACCCCTAAAGCCTGGCCTAAACCAACTAGTGGTATAGGAACCAGGAGGTTCATTGAGTCCACAAAGAAAGGCACCTCTCCCTCAACCCCTAAAAAGCCCTAAACCCCTAAGCCCCTCAACCCCCTAAACCCCTAAACCCCTAAACCCCTAAACCCCTAAACCCCTAAACCCCTAAACCCCTAAACCCCTAAACCCCTAAACCCCTAAACCCCTAAACCCCTAAACCCCTAAACCCCTAAACACCGAAACCCCTAAACCCCAAACCCTAAGCCCCAAACCCCTAGACCCCTAAACCCCAAGCTTTAAACCCTAAGCCCCTAAGCCCCTAGGCCCCTAAGCCCATAAACCCTAAACCCTAAACCCCAAAGGTGGACGCTGAAGAGTTTCATCTCCGGCCCCGCGAGTTCCGCAGACAGCTGGGCCCTTGGGGGGTTGGGGCACGCGCCGGCACGTCTCCAGAGGTAGGGTTTAGGGTTTAGGGTTTAGGGTTTAGGGCTTAGGGTTTAGGGTTTAGGGTTTAGGGTTTAGGGTTTAGGGTTTAGGGTTTAGGGTTTAGGGTTTAGGTTTGAGGGTTTGAGGGTTTGAGGGTTTAGGTTTCAGGGTTTAGGGTGTTTAGGGTTTAGGGGGTTTAGGGTGTTTAGGGGGTTTAGGGGGTTTAGGGGGTTTAGGGGGCTCAGGGGTTTTAGGATGCCAAGTGCCCTAAATAAGTTCGAACACTTGGGCTTAGGGTTGCAATGCTAAGCCCTACACCTCAAACCCTAAACCCTAAACCCTAAACCCTAAACCCTAAACCCTAAACCCCAAACCCTAAACCCTGAAGCCTAAACCCTGCGTGAATCATTGTCAGAAGCCTCCGAGCGGCCAACCTAGACAAGACTGGCCTAGAAACTGGGGGCCGCGCGGAGCTTTCGCCTGGATGCTGTAGGTGGCTTAGGGTTTGCGGTTTGGGGTTTGGGGTTTAGGGTTTAGGGTTTGGGGTTTGGGGTTGAGGGCTTGGCAAAGGTTCCCAGGGTTGTCTTGATTCAGAAACGCCAGCAATCTGCAGGAAGCAGGGTTGTACGTGCCCTAACTTGCGTGAATGTTTTGGCAGCATCTACATGTACATGTGTACCCTAAACCCTAAACCCTAAACCCAGAATCTACTTGCTAGGGCCCCAGAACCTCAAGTCTAGATGCCGTTCAGAATCGGATCATAGGTTGTATTGTGGGGTGTAGCTACTAGACCCTAATCTCCAAAACCCTAAACCCTAAACCCTGAACCCTAAACCCTAAACCCTGAACCTTAAACCCTAAACCCTAAACCGTTCGGGCTGGCGATCCTCAGTCCACGACCCCAGGAAAGCCTGAAGAGGGTTTAGGGTTTAGTGTTTAGGGTTTAGGGTTTAGGGTTTGGGGAGAGATCTCAAGCACCAAACTTAGGCCAGTTCGGAAATCTAGAGGGGATGTTCTTGGGTTTGGGGTCTAGGGTTCAGGGTTTGGGATTTAGGGTTTGTGGTTTAGGGTTTAGGGTTTGGGGTTTAGGTTTAGGGTTCATGGGTCTAAATCCTAAACCCCAAGGCCCTCAACCCTGTGTGTGGAGTTGAGGCCAGATCATCCACAAGGAGGTCTTGGCCCTTCGTTATGGCATTGGCCGCAAGATCGTGGGCATCAACACCACCCTTCTGCTACTCGGGGAGGGTTCGGAGTTTTACAGGTGCCAGGTTGATGGACCCTAAACCCTAAACGAAAGGGTGCGGACCCTAATGGGCTTGGGACGTTCCGCAAGCAAGTCAAAAGGCAAATTGATGGAACGTCAAGACATGTCAAGGCATCTTCGAGGCAATACAGCAAACAAAGTAGGATGCCCAGTAGTACCCTTATTCCCTTTTTTGGGGGGTTTGGGTTCCCTTATAAACCCCTTTAAGCAAAGAAGGGGCACCCTTTTTAAGCCTTGGTTACTGGGCAGCCTAGACAAGGGCAACTTCCCCCCCTGTGAGGGGCCTCCCTGCAAGGTGAGGCCTCCCAAAACCCTAAACCCTAAGCCCTAAACCCTAAACCCTAAACCCTAAACTGACCCTAAACCCTAAACCCTAAACCCTGAACCCTAGAAAAGGCTGGTTATCGTGCTCTCGATGCAGCTTCGCTTGATCTTCCGGCCGGATCTCCCAGCACTGATCTCCCCGAACCTTTCCTGGACGCCGTTTAGGGTTTAGGGTTTAGGGTTTAGGGTTTAGGGTTTCGTTTTTAGGGCCATTCTAGGGTTTCTCGGGTTGAGGCTTGTGGGTTCAGAGCCCTAAACCCTGAACCCTACCCCCTGAGCCCTAAACTTGCCCTAAACCCGACCCAACAAACCCGAAACCCTAAAGGGGTATTCTGCTCTCTGGGAAGAGAGGACCATTGCGGGCCACCTGTCCTGGATGACCCTGGCGCCTGGCCGTTTAAAATTCAGGGTGTAGGGTTCTAGGGTTTAGGGTCTAGGGTTTAATTAGGGCTTAGGGTCTAGGGTTTAGGGTTTAGGGTTTCTGGGGTTTAGGGTTTAGTAGGGTTTAGGGTTTTCGGCTGAGGGTTTAGGGGCCGCCCATGGCCCTAAACTACCTGTGTTGGAGGTTTTGGGTTGTGGGCTTTGGGGTTTTTGGTGTTTAGGGTGTAGGGTTCAGGGTTCAGGGTTCAGGGTTCAGGGCTCAGGGTTCAGGGTTCAGGGTTCAGGGTTCAGGGTAAGGAGAGCGCAGATCATCGCGATGGAAGACGCGTTGCACCTTCCTCCCAAGCACACAAGCACACAAGCCCACAAGCAAACAAACAAGCAAACGCACATAGAAAGACAAAGAAAGAAAGAAAGAAAAAGACAGCAAGGAAGGAGGAAAGAAATAAGGAACAAATATGAAATAGAGCAAGAAACACACACACACACACACACACCCACACACTCCCACACTCACACACTCGCACACACACTCACACACACTCACACACTCACACACTCACTCACAGCCTCGCCCTCAGCTTCACCTCAGCCTCACCCTCAGCCTCAGCTTCAGCCTCACCCTTCACCCTCACCCTCTCACCCTCACTCTCTCCCTCTCACCCTCACCCTCACACCCACCCTCACACCCACGCACGCAGGCACGCACGCAGGCACGCGAACAGGCACGCACGCAGACGCGCACGCAGACTCGCACGCGGGCATGCACGTAGGCACGCATGTGGACTGCAAACACACACACACACACACACACACACACACACACACACACACACACACACACACACACGCGCGCGCGCGCGCGGGCAAGTATGCAGATGCACGCAGACAAGCGCCCAGACTCGCACGCAGCAATTCAGAGAAACCATCCCCGGAGAATGACGGCCTCGCGCTGGTGGACATGCATCGAGTTGGCCATGTCAGAATTGGGGCAGTTGATCCGCACCCGAGATGCGTAAGGTGCTTTGTTGGTTCCCGAACTGTCTATAAGCCGAAAATTCACCGGCTGGGCTTTAGGGGTGTTTTGTGATAAGGTGTAAAATTCGGATTAAGCACGCTCGTGGAAGCTTGAATGTCTATGAGCCACTAAACCCTGAACCCAAAACCTAAACCCTAAACCCATCTAAACCCTAAACCCTAAACCCTAAACCATTTCAAGCTTAGGCCTTCGTGGTACCTCAGCTGGCACGGAGCGATCTGTGGCTTCTAACTTCTCCAGCTTAGAACATTTTTTCGTTCGTACGCACATACACACTTATGGCATATGTGTAGTATAAACGTATATAAAGATATAAACAAAACATATATGTATACAGAGATAGGTATGATTTTTTGCGTTCGACTCGACAAATCATGTATTTAAGTAAAGTTGCTTGTTTCTTGTAGCTTAGTACATTTCTGAAAATAAGCTTGTGTTCCTTGCGCATTGCAGGTTTAGTTGCTACTCGCTACTGCTGGTGGCCTACGTTCTTCCGTATGCCGACGCCCTGGATGGCAGCACGCGAGTGGCACTCATCGTCTTCAGCCTCTTCCGGTTTCCCGCCGTTGTGATGGCAAGGTGGGGACCGTGGGACCTAAGCCCTTAACCCTTATGCCCTGAACCCTAGACCCTAAACCCTAAACCCTAAACCCTAAACCGTAAACCCTAAACCCCAAACCCTAAACCCTAAACCCTAAACCGCCATATATGACCCTTGAACCTGAGCCGCTGGTTGCATTGAGTTTAGGGCCTTGGGGGCGCCTGAGCCCTAGAACCCCGCAACAACGCCCTCAGTACGCCCCAAACCCTAAACCCTAAACCCTAAACCCTAGAGCCTAAACCCTAAACCCTAAACCCCAAACCCGAAACCCTAAACCCTAAACCCTAAACCCTAAACCCTAAACCCTAAACCCCCCTCCTCACCGCCTGAACACACCTCAGAGACCCCCCCACTACTCGCACTGTGACCCCTCCCCTCATCCTCCCTCCAACCCTCCCCCCCCCCCCCCCCCCCCCCCCCCCCCCACACCCCCTCACCCTCTGGGGTGGGGAACCTAAACCCTAAACCCTAAACTCTAAACCCTAAACCCTAAACCCTAAACCCTAAACCCTAGACCGTAGACCCTAAACCCTAGACCCTAAACCCCATAATGGAAACCCTAAACCCAAACGTGTAGGGCGTTTAGGGTTGAGGCTTGATTTCCTAGGGTCGCAGAGAGCCCAACACCCCTCAGTCAGAACCTTAGTAGACGAGTGGTACCCTTTATCTTATTGTTTTGGTTCTGGTTTCCCTTACTTCATAACCAACCCGAAAAAGGGTGCCCTTATTGAATATGGTTACAGGGCTAAAAAAAAGGACATACCTGAATCTATCGCCCGGAGAAAACCGCGCCCAAGCCCGCGCTGGTTGAAAAACGCCAGACAATTCGACCACTGGGTTTAGGGTTTAGGGTTTAGGGTTCAGGGTTTAGGGTTAAGGGTTTAGGGTTCGCAGTACGTCCAATGCGACCACCGCTTGAGGAATAACGCCCGCACATCTCGCGCGGGCTTCGCGCGCGCGCGCGCGCCATGCGCGCGCCGCGCAAGCAACTCAATGTGCCCCTCCTTTGTGCTGGACGTAAGAACTCCACAGTGTGTTGGCACGCCGTTGGGGTAAAAGCCCGAAATACCCTGAACTCCACTAATCCCTAAACCCGAAACCCTATGAACCATTGGACTCATGCCTCCGAGCCCAGAGGCGGGTGTACACGGTGCTGCTGGGCAACATACCCTTCGCCGTGGCGCTCGCCTACCGGACTTGTACAGAGCAGAGCGAGGAGACTTACGCGGGCATTGCGGCGGTGGTGGGCATGGAGTGCCTGCATCTCGTGCCTAGGTCGGCCCTCGAGATGTTATTTTTTCTATATACATCATCATCATCATCATCATCATCATCGTCATCGTCATCGTCATCGTCATCGTCATCGTCATCGTCATCGTCATCGTCATCATCGTCATCATCATCATCGTCGTCATCATCATCATCATCATCATGTTTTTATGTTCTTTTTGGGGGGAGGCTTTAAGAGGATAGACTCTAAACTCTGAACCCTAAACGCAAAACCCCATAAACTCTAAGCCGTAAACCCTAAACAAAAGTTTCAAGGGGGGGCCCAAGCTAGGTACTCCTGACCGCGGCCGCCTTTGTCTTTGAAGACTACTTGGCACGGAGAGACGCTCACTCGATGACCCCGGAAGTAATTCAGACCCCGGAAGTGATTCAGGGTTGATTGGTTTAGGGTTTAGGGTTTAGAGTTTAGGGTTTAGAGTTTAGGGTTTAGGGTTGAATATAGCGGTCGGAAAAATTACTAATAATGTTCCCTTGCGGCCCCTTTGCAATTCTACTAGAAGAACTCCCAAAACCCTATTCTTATTATTCAGGCCCCTAGATTAGGGTTTAGGTTTCGGTTCTTGAGAGGGGTTGCGACCTCGAGTTTTTGGTAGCCCAGTGGTACCCTTTGCCCTTTTTTTTCTTTTGGTTACGGGTTCCCCCTTATAAAGAAACCAACCCAAACACCCGTGAAAACCCCAAACCCCAAACCCCAAACCCCAAACCCCAAACCCCAAACCCCAAACCCCAAACCCCAAACCCCAAACCCCAAACCCCAAACCCCAAACCCTAAACCCTAAACCCTAAACCCTAAACCCCCAGATGGGCTACTAAGAGTTGATTGTTCTGGGAAGTTCAGGTGGAGCTGGACATGGAGAGAGGCAATGCCCTGACCCAACTCAACGCGGCAATCGCCCTGCTTCAGCTCACCTGCGACGCGGTGGTCGAGCCTTTCCTAAGTTTGCCGGGGTTTGGGGGGCGTTGGGGGGGGGGGGGGGGGGGTTTGGGGGGGGAAGTTTGGAGGGGGGAGTTTGGGGCCCCTGCTAAAACCTATGTTTGACTAGGCTTTTCTGTATCTCACTATGAAACCCTCTGGCCATGTGGTAGAGCCGGGTCTACTTGGACAAATGATACCAACCTTTGTTGGCGCAGCAAATGCCTCACCAGCATGGCATTGTGGGTCCGAAAAGTTCTGGAATTCAGAAATCTTGGTGGCTGAAAACCTGGAAAGTCAATGGGCGGATACTCACAAAATACAGATTTGCAGACCCCCCGCCGCACCCAAGACGCGCTCCTGGATCTGTCTCTTACTTTCACCATCTTCGGGGACCTACTGGTGATAAGGATTCTTAAGGATGGTCTCTCTGTATCAGCCTGACATAGTATGGGGACTACTGCTTCAACGGAGTCCCTTTCGAAGCAAGCTGTTTTCACAACACAGAGCTTCAAGTCTGACTTTTAGCTGTGATTCCTGCTGTGATTGAAAAAGCTTTCGCGCTTTTTTGAAAGGGCTTATATCACTGCTATTACCACCTCCGCCGCCGCCGCCATCTTCTTCTTGATGCTTGCTACTTGCTTCTTGCTACTTGCTACTTACTAGTTTGCTGCGTGCTGCTCACTTCTTACTACTTGGTTCTTACTACGTACTATATGGAATGGAATGGCCAAAAAGGCTGGGAAGAAGAACATTGTTCCACGAAAATACCGTCAATTAGCATCTGGTGTCTTTTGCCTCACAACACACGCCCAGAATTCCCTTGTCTTTCCAGCGAATTCCCTTGTCTTGCCAGCGGTCACCTCCTTAAATGCACCAACACTCATATTAAAATTCAAAGAACAGAGGGTATCAAAGAAACTCGTCAAACGTTATTGGGTCGCAAACCCTCTCCATCGCTTTCTGCAAACCCTACATCAACCCTGAACCCCAAACCCCAAACCCCAAACCCCAAACCCTAAACCCTAAACCCCAAACCCTAAACCCTAAAACGTCTTTCCGATGTAAAAGGAGTTAGACGCGGACTTCCGTCTGACGGAGCACTCCCGGGAGCTTGCAGCCATGCTCCTGCGGGACGGCGGCAGAGGTGGCTCCTTGCAAGGCGCGCTTAGGCGGTTTAGGGTTTAGGGTTTAGGGTTTAGGGTTTAGGGTTTAGGGCTTAGGGTTGCCAGATCTGTTGCAACTGCAAAGGGTTGAGGAATTTGAGACTAAAATGCCAAACTCGAAACCTCAAACCCCAAACCCCAAACGGATAACCCCAAACGGATCAATGCCCGCTTGTGACGTTTCACTTTGGCTCGCTTGTGACTGTTCTTGCTTTCTTGCTTGTGACTACTTTTTCTCAAAAGCCTTCATGGGCTACGAAAAGATTCGTGCTTCTCACTTGTACCTTTCGGGCTTGTCATTGCCTCAAGAGAGTCAACCCCCTGTCTGGGGGAACCCCGAGATGCCCAAGAAGCCCCCTAAACCCGTCACCCAGAATCCCGAAACATCGAAGAAGTAAGCCCTTGTACCCGGGAGCTGGAATCTCTTGGTCAGCAGAAGGGGGAGACCGGGTCATGGATTCAGTTGACCACGTTGGGGTTTAGGGCTTAGGGCTTAGGGCTTAGGGCTTAGGGCTTAGGGTTTAGGGCTTAGGGCTTAGGGCTTAGTGTTTAGGGTTTAGGGTTTAAACGATGCTCTGATGGTCTTGGTGACGTGGCTGTTATGGATTCGGTTGGCCATGTTAGGGTTTAGGGTTTAGGGTTTAGGGTTCAATGTTAACGTCGCTTTAAGAACCCCCCCCCCCCAAAAAAAATGTTTTGGTCTCCGGGGTTTGGAGGGGTGGAAAAAAAAGGGGTGCCAATGAAGGATCCTGGGGTCTGGGGGTCTAGGGGCCTAGAGGTTTTAAGTAAAGGAAGCCTGGCTTTGAGATCTCTGGCGGTTTCCTAGAAGTCCAGGACCCGGGGGCTGAAAATTTAATCTTAAAGGATTCTTGTCTTGAGACTTAGACCAGGACCCGAAGGCTGAAGTCTTAAGCTTAAGGGGCTCTTGTCTTGAGACTTAGAGGTAGCCATTTAAACTTGGGGCTTCCTTGGTCCCCCCCCCCCCCCCTTCGCCGAAATTATTCTTGCCACCCCTGAACTATTGTCAAATTGGAGGCCCGTAAGGGGTACCCTTTCCGGATTTGTTTTCGAGCCCCGGCGGATCGGCCTAAACCCCAAACCCCAAACCCCAAACCCCAAACCCCAAACCCCAAACCCCAAACCCCAAACCCCAAACCCCAAACCCCAAACCCCAAACCCCAAACCCCAAACCCCAAACCCTAAACCCTAAACCCTAAACCCCAAGCCCTAAACCCTAAACCCTAAACCCTAAACCCTAAACCCTAAACCCTAAACCCTAAACCCTAAACCCTAAACCCCAAGTTAGAAGCTTCGGGCACGCCGTGCGAGGCATGCGCTTCGTTGACCTGATGCCGGCTCCCGATGCTGCTGTGTCCAAGCAGGTATCCTTGTATCCTGCGCTCCTTAAACCCTAAACCCTAAACCCTAAACCCTAAACCCTAAACCCTAAACCCCAAACCCCAAACCCCAAACCCTAAACCCTAAACCCTAAACCCTAAACCCTAAACCCTTGACCCAACAGAACTTGAGGCTGCACATGCGCTGACAAAGCTGTCCGTCTTCCGCAGCAGCGGCAGCTGGGTTGCTGTTGAGGGTCATATGGGGGTTTAGGGCCGTTTAGGGTTTAGGGTTTAGGGTTTGGGGTTTAGGGTTTAGGGTTTAGGGTTTAGGGTTTAGGGTTTGGGGTTTAGGGTTTGGGGTTTAGGGTTTGGGGTTTGGGATCCCTTTAAGGGGCTTCTATTCTATTTGGGGCAAAAAGGGTTACCCCTATTTTGGGAAATGCACATATATAGAGGGCCTAGAGTTCTGAAAAAGTGCTCATGCAAGTTACCATGATAAGGTTCCATCGTCTCTCCGTTGCCGTTGCCTGTCCCTAAACCGCAAAACCACATTCCTCACGGCAAACCAGGCAGTGGCAGTCTGCAGGAGAGTGGGGCGAAGCCCAAACCCGGAGAGGCTGGTCGGGTTTGGGGTTCGGGGTTTAGGGTTTCAGAGTTTCAGAGTTTCAGGGTCTCAGGGTTTCAAGTTTAGGGTTTAGGGCTCGAGCTTATGGTGCGGTTGGGGGTTTAGGCCTGGGGAATTTAGGGTTTCACGTTCGGGTCGATTTGGGACTTGCGGTCGGGAAGGTTCAGGGTATAGGGGTGGGTCTGTTTTGATGCTTTTGTTTGGTGTTGTATAGGGTTTAGGGTTTAGGGTTTAGGGTTTAGGGTTTGGGCTTTAGGCTTTAGGGTTTAGCAGCTTCTGGGATCTGGGTTTCCAGGTTTAGGGCTCGTACCCCCCGACCCCCAAGGCATGCAAGGGTTTGGGGTTTAGGGTTTAGGGTTTAGGGTTTAGGGTTTAGGGTTTAGGGTTTAGGGTTCAGGGTTCAGGGTTCAGGGTTCCGTAACCCCGTGGCCCAATTTGGGGTGCAGGCGTTAAACCCTCAAGACCCTAAGCCCCAAACACAGCTTGAAGCTCTACATAACCCGATGCCCTGAACCCCTGAAGCCCAAACCCTAAGGCTTAATCCCAAAACTCTGAACACAAAGCCCAAAACTCTGAGCTCTATTTACCTACAGTTCAGTAGTAGCCACCCCCGAATTAATAGGATCCCCCATGAAACTGTAGGTAAAGAGAGTCCCAGGTAAACCATAAGCCCTAAACCCTAAACCCTAAACCCTAAACCCTAAACCCTAAACCCTAAACCCTAAACCCTAAACCCTAAACCCTAAACCCTAAACCCTAAATTTAAACCCTAAACCCTAAACCCCAAGCCCTAAACCCTAAACCCTAAACCCCAAACCCTAAGCCCTAAACCCTAAACCCTAAACCCTAACCCCTACACCCCAAGAAGCCAGGGAGCGCGGGCACACGCCTTCCACACCCGCCTCATGGACAGCTGGTCGACCAAAGTCCGGACGGAGGTTCTCCAGGTCATGTACCGCAAGGTGGGGTTTCGGGCCCTAAACCCTAAACCCTAAACCCTAAACCCTAAACCCTAAACCCTAAACCCTAAACCCTAAACCCTAAACCCTAAACCCTAAACCCTAAACCCTAAACCCTAAACCCTAAACCCTAAACCCTTTGGGTTAGGCGTGGCAAATAAGTAATTTGGGATTCAGGGTTCCAGGGTAGGGGGCGCTGGACCCCAATGACCTTTTGAGGAACCCACTAAATGACCTAACTCCTGAACAGAAGTACCCTTTAAGAACCCCCCCCCCCCAGATGCCCTCAACGCTAAACCCTAAACCCAAGTGTCCCTAAGACCCCCACCTAGATGCCCTAAACCCTAGACCCTAAGCCCCAAGCCTTAAACCCTATAAAAAAACCCTAAACCCTGAAGCCTGAAGCCTAAACCCTAAACCCCCTAAACCCTAAACCCTCAACCCTAAACCCTGAACCCCAAACCCCAAGCCCAGATGGATGGGCAAACTTGCCATCTTGTCGGTCTCCGGGACTTCACAGACTCCAAGCCCTACGCTGCTGCTGCTTCACTCTCGGATGAAGACATGAACGACGCTGCCTGGAGAGGTTTGGGATGTTTTTGGGTGCTTTTTTGGGTGTTTTCGGGTGCTTTTGGGGTGTTTTGGGGATGCTTTTGGGGTTGGTTCTGGGGTTTTGCCGGGCTTTTGGAGGGCTCAGGGTTGCAGGGTTTAAGGTTGAGGGTTTAAGGTCAAACCCTAAAACCCTTTGTGCCCTGGAGCCGCGATGCCGCAAGGCCCAAGTCCGAAAGCCCTGCAAGCCCTCTCTATGGAAGAAGGGTTTAGGGTTTAGGGTTTAGGGTTTAGGGTTTAGGGTTTAGGGTTTAGGGTTTAGGGTTTAGGGTTTAGGGTTTAGGGTTTAGGGTTTAGGAACCTACGGGCTACAGCCCTACAAGCCCGACGGAGAGCCCAAGCAACAACAAAGGAAGCAACCGCAGCGCTCCCTGGACCCCCAAAAAGCAAACCCCCAAAGCCCCAAAACCTTAACCCTAAACCCTAAAAAATGAATTAAAAATAAGTGTCTATATATATATATATATATATAGAGGGGTAAGAGAGGGTTTAGGGTTTAGGGTTTAGGGTTTAGGGCCCTAATGTTGGACTCTCTTTAGTGTGTTGGGCCCCCCCCCCCCCTGGACAGTCGAGGCGCGGATGGGATCCTGATTACACGGCCCCGGGGGTTCATATGATTTTAATAGCGAGGAGCTTAGATAAGTTCAAAAGGGGCAGTGATGCCCGGCTGTCTTTTTTAAAGGCGCGGCACGTGGAATTTTCTTACGGCGCCCGGACGATTTGTCTTTAAAAAGAGGGACTCCCAAACAGTCAGGGTGTCCTGAATAATTCGGCCAGTTTATCTTTAAAGCGGGGGCCGATACTAAACCGGGTGCAACATTAAACCCACCAAACACCCCAACCACACCCGAAGTCCCCCCAAACAGCCACACCCCGAACACCCCCGAGCACCAACAACAACCCCAAACGCCAAAACAACCCTAATCCCTAAACCCTCCACCCTAAACCCTAAACCCTGGACCCTAAACCCTAAACCCTAAACCCTAAACCCTAAACCCTAAACCCTAAACCCTAAACCCTAAACACCCGATCAACCCTAAACCCCCAAGCTCCCCCGCAAATCAGCTTAAACCCGAGGCTGCCAGTGTCGACTCCTTTCCTGTCAGTCCGAGCTCGCGGCACAGCGAGCAATGGCAGCCGACAGCCTTGTACCATCGTGGGATGCTGTTTTTGGACCCTGGGCTCTGAGTTTAGGGTTTAGGGGTAAGGGTTTAGGGTTTAGGGTTTAGGGTTTGGGGTTTAGGGTTTTTGGGGTTTAGGGTTTAGGGTTTAGGGATGCTGTTTTGGACCCTGGGCTCTGAGTGTAGACTCGGAGTTTAGGGGGTTTAGGGTGTTAAGGTTTAGGGTTTTAGGGTTTTAGGGTTTTAGGGTTTTAGGGTTTTAGGGTTTTAGGGTTTTAGGGTTTTAGGGCTTTAGGGTTTTAGGGCTTTAGGGTTTTAGGGTTTTAGGGTTTTAGGGTTTTAGGGTGTTAGGGTGTTAGGGTGTTAGGGTGTTAAGGTTTTAGGGGTTTAGGGTGTTAGGGTGTTAGGGTTTTAGGGTTTTAGGGTTTTAGGGTCTTAGGGTCTTAGGGTTTCAGGGTGTTAGGGTTTTAGGGTTTTAGGGTTTTAGGGTTTTAGGGTTTTAGGGTTTTAGGGTTTTAGGGGTTTAGGGTTTTAGGGTGTTAGGGTGTTAGGGTTTTAGGGTGTTAGGGTTTTAGGGTTTAGGGTTTTTAGGGTTTTTAGGGTTTTAGGGTTTTAGGGTGTTAAGGTTTTAGGGGTTTAGGGTGTTAGGGTTTTAGGGTTTTAGGGTTTTAGGGTTTTAGGGCTTTAGGGTTTTAGGGTTTTGGGGTGTTAGGGTGTTACGGTGTTACGGTGTTAGGGTGTTGGTTTTAGGGCTAGGGTAGTGGGGATTTAGGGTTTTCGGGTTCAGGGATTTAAGGGCGTAGGGGTTTGCTCATATGCCCAGATCTCCATATGCGGAGGTCTTGAAAAGTTGTCGCCGAACCCTATAAGCTCCAAACCCTACACCCTGCACCCTAAACCCTAAACCCTAAACCCTAAACCCTAAACCCTAAACCCGAAGCCCTAAACTCGAAACCCTAAACCCCAAGCCCTAAAGTCGAAACACGAAACCCCAAAGGGGCCAAGCTTGAGTTTCTTGAGGGTCTTCCGGTTTGGCTTCGTCCACCCCAAATCTTGAGACGCTCTACAGCCGGTTACTAGTCCGCATAAACCCTAGAGGCCCTAGACCCTACAAACCCTAAACCCTAAACCCCAAGCTCTAAACCCTAAACCCCAAAACCCCAAACCCTAAACCCTAAACCTCAAACCCTACACCTCAAATCCTAATGCCAGCAGCAACGAGGATGTGGATGTGGAGCGGCTCTGCATCAATGCAAGCTCCGCACCCCTTATGGACCCAGCCTTTGGGGATGTAACGGCCCTCCAGGGATCCGCTAGTGCAGATCTGCCGTTTAGGGTTTAGGGTTTAGGGTTTAGGGTTTAGTAGGTTTAGTAGGTTTAGTAGGTTTAGTAGGTTTAGTAGGTTTAGGGTTTAGTAGGTTTAGTAGGTTTAGTAGGTTTAGGGTTTAGGGTTTAGGGTTTAGGGTTTAGGGTTTAGGGTTTAGGGTTTAGGGTTTAGGGTTTAGGGTTTAGGGTTTAGGATTGCGAGGCTTTCGGTCTAGGGCTTAGGGTGTTCTAAACCCCAATCCCTGCACCCTCGGGTTGAGTAGGACTGGGGCTGGAAGGTCTAAACCCTAAAACCCTAAACCCTAAACCCTAAACCCTAAACCCTAAACCCTAAACCCTAAACCCTAAACCCTAAACCCTAAACCTTAAACCCTAAACCCTAAACCCTAAACCCTCAAGATAAAATAAATAGAAACTGTATGTGGTCTCATTCGGAATTTTCCAAGTTATGTCTCTAAACAGCTGACAAGCTGAGTTTCAGTAAATTAAGCCCAAAACACTTCTGAAGCCAAATGCCGAATTTACTTAAACCTCTCCCTCCCCCCCCCACCCCCCCCTCCCCCTCCTCCCCTCCCTCCTCCCCCCTCCCCTCTCCCTCCTCCCCTCCGATCCCCTCCCCGTCCCCTCCTCTCATCCCCTCCTTTCATCCCCTCCTCTCATCCCCTCATCCCCTCCTCTCATCCCCTGCTCTCATCCCCTCCTCTCCTCCCCTCCTCCCTCACATCCCTCCAGATCTCTGCCCAGATCTCCCCCAACATCTCCCCCCAATCTGCCCGCACATCTCCGATCTCCTCCCAGATCTCCCCCAGATCCCCCCCCACATCTCCCAGATCTCGCCCAGATCTCCCCCCCACAGATCTCCCCCCCACAGATCTCCCCCAAGATCTCCCTCCCCCTCTCCCGAGATCTCGTTCCAGATCTCCCCCCCAAAATCTTCACCCCCAGATCTCCAGATCTCCGTCCAGATCTCTCCCCAGATCTCCCCACCAAATCCCCCCCTAGATCTCCCTCCAGATCTCCCCAGATCTCCCCCCAGATCTCCCCCCAGATCTCCCCCCAGATCTCCCCCCAGATCTCCCCCCAGATCTCCCCCCAGATCTCCCCCCAAATGGGCCCCATTCCCTCACCCCCTCCCCTCAAGAAAAAACGAAACATAGTTTTAAAACACAAAACGTTCGGTCAAAATGTTTCGGTCAAAACTTTCGGTCAAAACGTTTCGGTCAAAACTTTCGGTCAAAACGTCTCGGTCAAAACGTTACTGTATTGGGACCCAAACCGTGTACAGTTTCTATCGGCAATTTTTTTCTCTAAGCGTGCGCTGCGTCACCGATGCAGCAATTGCTTTACTCGGCTGCGCTCTGCGTGCCTTCACTGTGGCCGTGCCAGTGCCTACACGAGAGACGCCAGCCTCATTTTGTAGACCTCTTCGTTTCCACAACTTCGAAAGTCAGACCCTCTTTTGGACCTCTTTTTTTCTCACCCAGAACCGCGGACTCGCCGTCGAGCCCTGCCCGAGCCCAAACCTCAAAGCATGTACATGTCCAGTGCAGGGTTTACATGTGTGTCTTCTTGCTTGTGCTTATGCGCCGCTCCACCTGCAAAGCTTTTGCTACAGCATATCATCTCTGCATCCCACTTGCGCTTCTTTGTCGCAGTCTGGCGCTCACGCAGAAGTTGGAACGGTGCGTGCGCGTTCTGGTGAGTGCACCGCCTGACAGATGGCCTTTTTCGGCTTCGACACTCCGAGCGCGGTCCGGGACCTCAGCTATAGACGCTTATAGGCTTACGTCTGATGATTGCCGATGTCGTGTACATGAGCGCAGCCGCGAAGACGAGACCCCTGCGGAGCAGGCGGCGCAGGAGCGTGTCAGACGTGCTCTATTGCAACCACAAGAGCGTGAGAACCTCAGCTGTAGAGTGAAGCATGCGGGATTGCCGCAGTCCTTTTCCCTTATCATCCCCTCCTCATCCCTCCTCCCTCCTCATCCCGTACTCCTCCCCTCCTCATCCTCTTCATCCCCTCCTCATCCCCTCCTCGTCTCCTCCTCATCCCCTCCTCATCCTCATCCCCTCCTCATCCCCTCCTCATCTCATCCTCATCCCCTCCTCATGCCCTCCTCAATCCCCTCCTCATCCCCTCTTCATCCCCTCCTCATCCCCTCCTCCTCATCCCCTCCTCATCTCCTCCTCCCCTCCTCCCCCCTCCCCTCAACATGAAAAACTAGTTCAAAAGAACAAAGCGTCCCCCCCCACCACTCCCCTCAAAAATGAAAACTCTTGTTTCAAAAGCCAAAACGTTTCGTTCAGAACGTTTCGTTCAAAACGTTATTGGGACCCAAGCCCTATACAATTTCTATAAACCCTAAAACCCTAAACCCTAACTCTAAATCCTAAACCCTAAACCCTAAACAGGCTGTGCTTGAAAGTTCTGGCATGTCGAGTCACGCGAGTTGAGGATCGATAGCAGGGCAGCAGGCTTCAAGGTGTAGGGTTTTGCAGAGTCTAGGGGTTCACTGTTTCACGTAGGGGGGTTTAGGGTGTAGTATAGGGTTTTCAATTGTTCCGGGCGCACCGCCACGTGGGACGTGCGTTGTGGTGTGCGCTCAGGTGCAGGCTCTCACCCAACCCACCCGCCCAAATCTCAACCTTGGACTCAGAGTAGGCACTTATTGCCTTTTTTGAGGATTGGTCTGGTTCTTCACTCGGAGGCGAAAGATAAGGCATCTTCGTGGGAAGGCCCCTTACAGGAGGCTTCCGTAGAGGCCCTTTATGGGGAGACCTGTCGCCACGCGGTGTCGCTCGCCGCTGGCTATCGCCGCACCCGTTTAATTGGGGTTGGGGTTTTTTGGACACAGGGTCTTGGGGGTTACCCTAAACCTTAAACCCTAAACCCTAAACCCTAAACCCTAAGCCCTAAACCCTAAACCCTAAACCCTAAACCCTACACCCTAAACCCTAAACCCTAAACCCTACACCCTAAACCCTAAACCCTTACGCCAAAAAACCCCAACTCCGGGTTGCCACCTTCTGGCCAAGAGGACCTCGTTGGCTCAGCAACAAGTGCGGTCTTTCCTGCTGCCAACACGCTGAAACTGATGGACGCCGGGCTGATGGAACATGTGGGGCTTAGGGTCCAGGGTTTAGGGTTTAGGGGTTCTGCAGGGTTCAAAGAAAGCAGCCCGAAGCCCTGTGGCCCTACACCTTTTTGCCCCAAGGCCAAAAGCTTTGCCATGAACCCTCAACCTTAACCCCAAACCCCTAAATGCAGGTTTTCTCCTGGGTTACCTGGATAACCTCGTGAGGAGTAGGCTCAAACCTTGTTTTGTAGGATGACAGGCAGAAGGCGGTTTAGGGTTTCAGGTCGAGGGTTTAGGGTTTGGGGAGGCACCATCATCGAACGACTTTCCCTGTTCGTGAATCCGATGTAAAGCTCCCTCAGACCTTAGCATGGGGCCTTTAAGGGTTGAAAGTTGCTTTGAAGGTTCTTGGGGTGTTGAGGGCTTCGGGCTTCGAGCTGGTGGCTTTTGAGGTGTTTGAGGGCCTAAGGCTTGGGATGTATAGATTCTACACTTTCTGAGGGCTCCAAACATTTAGGGTTTAGGGCGTCCGAATTCAGGACTCGTCCAGGTTTGCCATTCCCTAGAGCACCGAAACCCGCAACCCCGAAGCACGCCCGGAACGCCAAACCCTAGACCCTACTATAGACCCTAGACCCTAAACCCTAAACCCTAAACCCTAAACCCTAAACCCCAAACAGACTTGAAGTCTCCGAAAAGTCCCCGGCCACAAAGCCCGAAACGATGCGCCTACACCCTCAACCTTCTGTGGGGGTTTAGGGTTTGGGGTTTTGGGGCTTAGGGCTTAGGGTTAAGAATCTTGGTACCTTAAGCTCTCCAGCCCATTACCTCAACCTTAGGGTTTTGGCGTCGAAGGATTAAGGGTGCAGGTTTAGGGTTTTTTGGGGTGGAGGGGGGAGGTGGCTTCGGGTTTAGGGTTTCGGGTTTAGGGTTTCGGGTTTAGGATTTAGGGTTAGCGATCTCCTGGATTCAGGATAGAATTCACAGCGAGGGTCGCCTGCTGCTGGAGAGAGGTGGCTCGGCCTTATGTATGAGCCGTACCTGCGATGCTACTGAGGTTCCTACAACCCTAAACCCTAAACCCCTAAAAAACGACAACCCCAAAAACCTTAAAAGCCTGCACTCGAAACTCCTTTCATCTTGGGCATGGGAAGGATTCATCGTTAAAGACCTACCCAGACTACCAATCTGACTTTTTCAAGATCCTTCATTTTTTTTTTTTTTGGGGGGGGGGGGGGGGGTTGAGCTGTGACCATTACAGGGCCCCTACGTCGGAGGGTGGGTGGGGACTCAGTACTCTCAAAGTTCAATAAACTAGGTTCGTGGGCTTGCTTGGGAGGCAGTCAGAAGGAACCAGGGCGTCTCAGGGAGGGGGGGGGTGGGGTAGCGGCTAGTGACCATGTCCCCAAATAGCACCGGAATCACCTTTCTCACTCCTCTAAGCCCTAAACACTCCCCAAACCCTGAACCCTGAACCCTGAACTCTAAACCCTAAACCCCAAACCCCCGGTTCCTTATCAAGATGCTGGACAGCTTCTTTGCGCTGTGGCCCCGGCTCATGGTCTTTTTGGGTCAGAAGGTGTGTCTGTTCCCTATAAGCCTTGAAACCCTCAACCCTTAAACCCTAAGGCTTGGGTTTAGGGTTTAGGGTGTAGGGTTTAGGGTTTAGGGTTTAGGGTTTGGGGTTTGGGGTTTAGGGTGTTAGGGGTTAGGGGTTAGGGTTTAGGGTTTAGGGTTTAGGATTTTAGGGTTTTGGGGTTTTAGGGGTTTAGGGGTTTAGGGTTTTAGGGTTTTAGGTTTTTTTTAGTTTCAAGTGTTCGGAGGTTCAGGGCAGAGGCACGTCCTGAATCCGAGGTGAGCAGCCACCTTC